TAAGTAGGATTGTGAAAAATTTTCACTTTGTGTTCTACACACTTTTAAATGGCTTAAATTTTAAAAATATTTTACTATATAAAGAGCAGGGAGAAAGTCTCTCAGTTCAAGCCATAAGGTAAATATCAAATTGTAGGGCTAATTTTTGATACAGATGAGACTGTTTTTAAAAAAATAAAAATAAAATGAAAATGATTCGTTTACAATGAGAAATATAATTGCCAGGAAGGCTGGATACATCACTGGCCTGATCAGCGCGTTGCCTGGCTCTATGCAAGTTGAAGCCCAGTGACTGGATTTCTCGGCGAACATCATCTGAATGAGACTATTAATTAGAAATATATGATCTAAAACATTAGTGGCCTCAGAACTTGATAACTCCAATGTATCCATCTGTAAATTGGTAACATTCCTGATAGATTCAGGTCTTTTCCAAAACTGAGATGGCAGGACACCAACGACTTCCAAATCTATGGATCTTCCTTCATTCCTCATCCTTCTTTATGCCTGTTTCACATCCATCATCTATTGCTGCATAGCAAAGCCTCCTGATTGTAGCGGCGTAAAACAACTTACTACGTCCTGTGATTCTTTGGTTTGGCTGGGTGGTGCCTCTGCTTGCTTCACCTGGGCTCAATTGTGCAGCTACACCGGCAGGAGGGCCCATGGGTACATGGGACGTGACCACACAGGTGGCAGCAGGTGCTGGCTGCAGTGGGGAGCTTCAGTTCTCCCGCGGGACGCGATGTGGCTCCCTCGCAAGTCAGACTCGGGCAGCATCCACGGAGTGAAGGCAGGAGCTGCACGGCCTTGTGGAGTTGACATTCTGGAGCTCGCACATCATTTCCACCGCTTCCTGCTGTCAGCACAAGTCCAAGGCCAGCCCAGATTCAAGAGCTGAAGAAATAGACTTAACCTCTTGATGGGATGAAGGGCAAAGAATGTTTGAGCACATTTAATCTATCACACCTATTCTTTCTTGAAATTCTCTCTTTTAGCTCCTGTGAAACAGTCTTCTTCCCTGGGTCCCCTCCTCCCTTACTGGCTCTTCTCTCCTTATTTCTCCCTCTGTTCATCCGGTATAGTCATCTTTGAAGATTTGGTCCATGTCCTTATGCCTTAAGAGTCAAGGCAAATCCTGGGCCCCGAAGCCCTGAGGAACTCCAGCCCTGGAAAGCATTTCTTTCTCCTGGATTTTCAGTATCTTCCAGTCTCTTTTCTTCTGTGCTGCCCTAGCTAGCACCCTTGTGGTTTCACCTCTTTAACTAGGTTATGAAGTTTTAGTTTCCAGGGAAGCTTTTTGCCCATCATCTTTCTTATGTAACCTCTATAATGCCTACCTTTATATTGGTTCCTAGATGATTAAAAAGTACCCACTGTTTGATTTGATAACTTGTTTCACTGGCTTCACAGTAAAGTGTATGTGCACTTTAAACTATCCATCTCATAACTGAGGGAACAAAATTCCTTTAAAAATAAAGTTTTGTTAAAATTCTTAACCAAAGGGCAAGAGTAGTAATGATTTAACTGAATGAAACTAAGGGCCTACTTTACTATCATTCCCTACTGTACTTAGTCTCTTAAGGAAGTCTAACTTGAAAGCAGAGTGTTCCGTATGAGTTAAGATTAAGAAACTTTCAAATTTATTTTTCATAGAGGGTTATTAAAATGTATCAAATTGTAAACCAGAAGCTGGGAGTGGTGTAATCCCAGTGACTGGGGAGGCTGAGGTAGGAGGATCACTTGAGCCCAGGAGTTTGAGGCTGCAGTGAGCTATGATGATGCCAGTACACTCTAGCCTGGGCAACAGAGTGAGACCCTGTCTAAAAAAAGAAAAAGAAACTTTGAAGACAGAACCTATGAAAATCTAATCTTTCCATCCAGTGGGCTTCCAGAGTAAGATATTTCTTAAGAACATTATGATGTGGGTATTTAAAACTCAACGAAACTTATTAATTCAGAATTCGGGGTGGGGAAAGAATCTCAACTAGTAAAATTCTGCCTTATGAAATGTATTTCAAAGAATCACATTTCTGTTACTTTTGAGTCATGCAATACTCAATAAATCCAGACCCTCTTCAAGAAAGTTATAAATTGCGTATTAGGAGAAGACCAAAAGCTAAAGGTACAGTGAACCCCTAGAGAGACTACACGAATACTGCAAGGTTTGCCCTGAAGAACAAACTGGTGCGGAGTATTATAAAAGGTGAGGTGGCAAAGCAGTTCTGCACTTTAAAGTCATTACAGCAGCAGCAGTATCAGCTGGGTGTGTGTTGTGGGGAAGCCCAGTACTGAGGGCAGAAAAGAAACGTTGCCTTTAGAAACCTTGGTTAACTCCTATCCATGCAACACTAGCGAGCTAGCTGAAGCAGCAGGTTGGCAAAGGCTTTTAAAATGGAAATGTCTGCAGTCTGACTTATGTAAGTTGACCAAAGTGTATCTGAAGTATGTATGTTAAACAAAAGACAAAAAAATAAACAAGTTTTCAAATTAGTTAAGAAAATGTGAGGCGGCAGAAAGCCCATGGAACTTGCTAGTACACAGAAGCCGCAGTGAACTTGAAGACTGAGGAAAGACACTGGCCAGTAAAGGGAGTCCTTATGAATTTAGAAGTTAATAAAACAATGAATCAACTTTTGTCACCAGGGTAACAGTCTTGATGTATAAATCTCAATGACTGTTTCTAAGAAGAAAGGAAACTATTTATAATATCAGATTAACTTCAAACTGGATACTACGCATTGCTTAACATTTTCCTCTGTCATATTTGGAGTTGGGATCTTTTACCCCCTATTTCTACAAAGCTGAGAAAACAAATACTCCTCCAAGGATGTTAAGTTTCTTATAAAACAAACAGTGACTCAGCTGAGAGGTCAGAAAAGATTTCTGTAGTAATGTGATTTGAAAGGATTTTATTTTGAACTTCTGCCTGGCCGGCTACAAACTCCAAATGGGGTGTTCACCATGGTTGCTGTTTCAGCTGTGATTTTCTTTACTCCTTCCCCCAGTTTAAGTGGGTACAAATGGAGAGAATAATAAACAAGTTAATGTTTGGTAAATATTTTAGTTCTGAGGCCTAAATTACTTTTCAGTTTTAGTAGTTAATTTGATGTGGCCATTTCTTCATTCATTCATCTATATTCATTTATTCACTAAGTATTTATTGAGCATCTATTATATGCCAGGCACTGATCTAAGTTCTAAACATTATCATTGAGTACAATTACCAGGAGAGTTCAAACGTGCTGATTAGATAGTGACTGGTGGGGGGGAGTTTGGCACTTTCA